TGTCTTCTCTTTCGCTTTATTTACATTTTTTCTCTAGAAATCCGCTTCAGTTATGAACTGCGAACTCTTGGAAAATCTTTGGCAACTCTTTGGCAACTCTTGGGAACTCTATGAAAAAATGCATGAGAGTTCCGAGTTCATTGAAGGTTATTAAAACCACAAAATAATATTGAGACGGTGTGTATTAAATCTCGTATAATTGTGCATTCAAAAACCCTCTCACACAAATACATATACACACATATAATTAGACATGGACATATTCCTACATAAAATACTCACACGCATACAATTTAATGAAAACTTAAGGGACTGTACAAGCATTAAACATAATATTTAAAAAAAAAATGAATTTTTGCCGTTTTTGGCCACTAAAAATTGCCGTAGAGCCTAAAGATGGGCATTTTGAGCTTCGACCCCATGGACACTTTTGATCAGGGGTACAAAACGAACAATTTCCCAAATTTTTAACAAATTTCACCGGAAGACCGTTTTCCATATAAAATGTGCGGGGTCCTTTAAATGATATTAAAGAAAGAGTCAACTCAGAATAGTCAAAAGTCACTCAATTGATAGTTAGTAGTAACTCGAATTTGTTGTTACATTATTGATATATTTTTTCATTGTATGAATGACAAAAAAATTGTTTGTCTAGTAAATGTAATCCTTATCTTGTATAGCTTATTTGTTTTATTTGTCTATTATTGTTTATCCCTAAGTTCTTTGTCTGGATTTTATATTTTGATTGCTCTATGTTATGTAGTATTTATATTTTTATATTTAATGTTAGTTTGTCTTTTCCTTTTAAAATTTACTTAAGGTTTTCTGTTTTACCTTATCCTATAATAATTGGGACTCTGTCCCGTTGGATATTGTAACTTCTAAATAAATAAATAAATTATTGAGTAAAATTGAGTGAAATTTGAGTGAAATTTTTTAAGAGTGTATTTTTGAAAAGCCCCGATTAATTTTCAACCCACCTTATATATTTTGGGTACAGCTTATGAACCATTTGTGGGAATTAATTTATTTTTGGTAAAGGTATGTATCACTTGGCTAATACATTTGAAGTCAGAATTGCATAATATTAGAAAAATGCCCTTACCTTGTATATTTTTATTTCGTATAGAATACTGAAAGTATATGATTCAGTGACCATTCATTTGTTTCTTGTCAGACTTTTCTCTCTACTAAATTAAATATGAAATTCTTTTAACACAGATATGCTACATTGTAACTGAACTAATTTGACATGATTACATTTTACTAGTTATCCAAAGTTTACAAATAAAAGGAAACTAGGAAATAAATCTATATTATCTATTATAATAATTGAAATATTTATAATAAAGTAGATATGCCTATTAACGACCCCAAAAATCGGTACCTAACACTAACTTAAGTATCATCCAACACTTCAATCGTGTTTCGTGTTATATTAAACAAATACCTATTTAAATTTATTTTGAAGTGACCATTTATTACTTTATCACAATATATGTTAAAATGCGGATGGTATGGGTGAGAATAGACAAGACACTCATTAGTGACGCAGGTAAGTTGAAGTGTTGTGATGGGCGTAAATTACCGTGGTTAAAATTACTCTGGAAAGTACACCAGTTAAGAGTGTTTTATCAAAAATCTTTTAAAATATGCACACTTGTACTTATGTTTCCATATTTATAATATTACTAGATATATAAAGGGTATTTTTGCGACTTACATTTTATTGTTTATAAAAACTGTTTAAATAATAAAATTTCTTATAACACTGAATTCTAATCTAATCGTCCTTACAAGGCCAAGTAAGAAGAAAATATATTCCTATTATTTAATATATTTTATTCTATTTGAACGTTAATATGATTTTCGTGACTTGTACCTTCTTCTTTCCATCACCGACTTATTAAAAATTTTTATAGTGTCGGTGATAGGTACTAATACCTACTACCTGACCTATTAACTCACTTCCATTTCATTATTATATATTTTTTATTCAGTATAGATAGGTTTTGCAATTAAAATATTTTGATAACACATTATATTTCTGCATAAAATCTTTGATAATATAATCCAAAATCTACTTATACATGAACATGAACTCACCGTGACTATTTGCAAATGTTTCGAAAATTATTGCTGATGCTTACTTCCTTCTGTTAGTTATTTTCTAACCACGTTTCATTTTTGTATTATTTGTTTGGCAGTTTTAAAAACCACAATAAAATAATAACTATTAGAATATGGAACAAACTTAAACAATATAAGAATGCTCTAGCGTTGGTGTAATGTATGTACAACGAAGGAAATTATACAAAATTAATTAAAGATCCAATCAAATCAATAGAAAATAAAATTTATAGAACGTTATGTAAATATAAACAAGAATATCAGAAAATGGGAGTAAAAATTTAAATCCATATTATAGTAAACCACCACACTTTTAACGTTTACCAAAAATTTATAAACGTAATGTATTTTTAAGACCCATTCCATTAATTCTCCTTGTAACAAATTGGCAAAATATTTGTTATTATCAAACCTTTATTTGGACATTTTGATTGATACATTAGACATAGTAAACAAACATTGGAAAAACTTTCTTTTAATAATTTTAATACTAGTCACTTAATGGTGAGTTTTGATGTGGTTAGTGTATTCACTAATGTACTAGTAGATAAAACATTGAACATTATCCCTACTAATATTATAAATGTGAATGTAAGTTTATTTGTTACGCTTTCACGCGAAAACTACTTACCCGATCATCATGAAACTTTGTACACATATTCTTGGAGGTATTAGAAGTAACATAGGATACTTTTTATTAAAACATTTTTTTTTACGAAAGATTTTCTATATTTATTTACCCGCGAGCGAAACCTACTAATAATCCCTACTAATATAAATGTGAATGTAAGTTTGTTTGTTACGCTTTCACGCGGAAACTACTTAACCGATTATCATGAAACTTTGTACACATATTCTTGGAGGTATTAGAAGTAACATAGGATACTTTTTATTAAAAAAAAAATATTTTTTACGAAAGATTTTCTATCACTGCGAGCGAAGCCGCGGGTAAATGCTAGTCTAAAATAAATTAGAAGATGATACAAATTTGTTAGAATTATCTCTAGTATAGGATGTATAATGGAATTGAAGTTTATATATAAAAATTATATATTTTCAATTAAATAATGAATTTTGTCAACAAGATTTCAATAAAAATAATAAAAATAAATTATCTAAAATAAATTATCTAAAATAAATATTCTAATAGCAAGCCAGCAGTTCTGGGCCCACCCCAAGGTTGGTTGCAAATTCTAGAAGGAGCAGTAAACACTAATAGAGTAAACATAATATATCTCTAAGTATGGAAACAGGCAAAAAAACAGATTTAATCTGTTAAAAATATTTATAACGAAGTCATTATAAATTTTGAAGACCAATACAGATTTTCGAAACGTAAGGAATTTTTTGAAGTACGGGATATATAGCGATGTGTTTTTTCTTTTTTCTTTTGGCGCCTTAATTTTTTTAAATTTTTTCACATGTGGCAAAACACCCAAAAAAATTGACATAAAGAAAAAATAAAACTGTGACACAAAAAAATAACTTGAGATAGTATTTTGTGGTCTGAGGATAGTCTTAATAGACATCAAACTGTTTGAAATCGGTTTGAAATTTTGCAAGAACAACACTATCTACTAAAGTTTGAGACTGTGCACAAACGTTAAATTCAAATTGCGCATGCCCTGACGGTCACGGTCTGGAAATAAACCTATCGAAAATGTACATGATTTTTTTTCTGTAATTGTAGCAAGTTTATTTTTCTGCTCTTTACGACAGAGTAGTAAATAGTCGATATTAGGTTAGGTTGATATTAGGAAAATTTACATTTTTTTTTTAAATTAATTTAAATTATACTTATATAATTTATTTTCTAAATTATCATTTCTAGGTATTCAATAGAAACTTTCATTCATATAAAAACAATAGTTATGTTATATTTCTTATTATGGACAAAGAACATAAAGTATGCATAAGAGGGTCGTTAATAGGCGCGATTACCTTAATTAGGTATTTTCTTTAGATAAAAGTATTTTTTATACAATGCTAATTTAGATACATTATTTATTTTTTCCATATTAATGTAAACATTTCTTTAATTTTTCTTTTTTTTTTATTTCCGCATAACATTATATAGAAGAATCTTAATGTCACCTTGTATAGCTCAAATATTTACTAGATTTCTTATGTAGACAATGAATAATTTAATCAATAAATCAATATCTTTTTCCCCAATTAATAAACCACCCCTTTGACGGATCAGTTAACTGCTTTTAATGGAACCCATATCAAAGATTTTTAACGTAATTACTAACTTTACAGGAACGCTTCAGTAAATATTTGTTATTTTCTAAATAAAGAAAATTATTTTAGCTAAAGGAGAAAATAAACTTTGTTTAATTTGTTATTTATTTGACTAATAGCTTAAAAGGGTTAATTGATAGGTGTAGCTTTATACTGTACAACAAAAAGCTGTTTAACAAATAGACCATGTTCGAAAATATTCAAATATAGCTGAAGATGTTTGACTAGAGATATTTTAAATTTATTCAACTGTGTGACAAACTTATTTCAAATAAAAAAATAATACTAACTTGGAAAGTACTTGTTTAGGACAACTGTCTGAATTTTCGAATAATTACAAACTAAACAGATTCATCTTTGTGAGCAACCGTATTCTTTCGCAAATAAAGATTATTTTTAACTCAAGGCTGCAAGAAAAATGAACTAACATCGTGTCTTAATTTGATTATTGGTTTTCTGACAGCAATAGTAATTATTACGTTTATGTTCAACGTAGGTACATTTAATCGACTACTCAAATACGAGTATAAATATAGTTCGTGTGTAAATAAATTGATTGATATGTAAGCACAAGGACAGAACTAGTTCAGAAGTAGTTAGACATGTAGTTTATGTGCTGGTGACACTACATGGCCGTGTGGTATACAAATTTGTAAGGAAACCAATTTGATGTACGCAATTTTTATATTAATTCACTCTTATGATGTTTAACTTTTCTGTCCTGAGTTATAGTTATATACATATAGCGAAGGCCCAAAACATCATGATGTGGTCATTTTTCATTAATCCCAATTTTTTTTTAAGTCTTACAATTATGTTAATAGAACAACATATTAAAATGCACGAAGGGCACATAGTAAGGAAAAAATGTTATTAATAATCAACGTCGCAAAAATGCGTTTTATCTGTTTTCCTTCAATATCGTTAAATTAATGAAACTCCATGATACGCTCGGAAAATACTTCTCAATTCATGTATAATATCACAGACAAAATCATAATATGCTCACGAATTTCGGTATTGGACAGGTGAATCGTTGCTGAAGTTTCAGTATCTAAATTTTATTTCTTTTAATTTCATGGACTAATTTTCTGCGAATTCATATTTTTTCTACTTTTTATTTTGTAAATTGTATATTTACATTTACATGTGCAACAGTTTTTTGAGTGTATTAAAATTTGTAATTGAAAAAGAATTTCTTATTATTTATTATTTAATATTAAATAAATAGTACCTATTACAACAATGTATAATAATTTTTTAATAAATTTTCTCTGTATTGTAATAAATTGTTTATTTCAAAATATTGTAGTTACTTTTATTTAAATTTATTACAATTTATGTTATGTAAGTGTATTTATGGGACAGTTATAATACTTAGAATTACTAGATATTAATACAAGAGGTTGCTAAAATTGTAGTTTGTCCAAAAATAATAAATTACCTTAAATTTTAAATAAGAAATTTGAATTCCTCTAGCTTTGTTCTTTCAATTGAAAAAAATCCACTTGTTTGCATATCGTAGTTATTGAAATAAGTTGACTTAGAAAATCGTATCGCGATATAGACGTTTTAGCGGACGTGCCCGCGCAGTTTCTTGTCTTTTCCCTCACCTCACCTTAGGTTTTTTTCGTTTAATTAACACTGAAACTTCCAGCAAGTAAATTAATTTATGTATTTAGAATCTATAAGTGTTTTTCAATGCTCCTTCAAAATTCGTCCGTAGAATTAAAAGCTAGTCAAATTTGCATGCTAAAAAGTAAGTTTTTTTGTTTTTGTAATATACAGGGTGGTTCACAACTTATCCAAAAAAAATTGGAAATAGATGCGTCGTGAAAAATGTCAGTATCGTAAAAAAAAAATTTGTAAAATCCTTAGTTTCCGAGAAAAAAAAATTGAAGTTTGTGTTGAATTGGCGTTGTGCACTGTGCGCAATGCACTCTCTCTCTCTCTCTCCACGTGGTCCCAGGCGATTCCGATTACTGAAATCTGATTTTAATGTTAACGTTTTGCGATAGTGTTTACATTACTTTTTCAAGCGTCAAAAATGGCTTACGTATATAGCAATTCAAGTTGATGGATATCGTTTTAATTTATGGTGAAGCAAGACAACATTCGTTTTAATCTCAAATGTTGGTGGACAAAATTTTGAATAGTTGTTGTAACATCAAGAATGCCAAATTATTTTATTAATTACCTAAAACTACAAGTTAATTTTATTAATTAATAATAACAATACCGGCAAATGCAGTTGAATTTGCTGATATAAAATAGGTATAATAAAATTTTATTTATGTATTTTTTAGGAAATAAATTATTTCAATTTTTTGTCCAATCATTTTTTATTACACTTTGCCGCCGTGCCATTCGTCGACTGCATGCTTTCTTGCGCAAGATCAGGATTTACAGTAGACCAGTTTCCAGTGCCGTGCAGTAGTGTATTTTAAAATCATTTTCGATCTGCCCTTTTTGATTTTTGTTTACAAAATTATATTTGTAAATTTTTTTTATAAGTTTTAAATCACCCTGTATACTCATCAAGTTTCGTAAACATGCAAGATCAAAAAAAAATTGCCATCATATCAACACGTACCTGTATAACTGTCAGTGTCTCAGTAAAGACCCATTTGTCCAATAGCGCGGTTCGGATGCTTGTTATTATACATGGATTGAGAAGTATTTTCCAAAAGTTTCATGAGTTTTATTTAATTTTTAGAAAATTGACAATAATTTTAAGGATAACATCGGTTTTTGTAATTTTTTGTTAATTGTTAAATTATTTTCGCAATTAAAAAAAAATGGAGCGGCGTAAAATTTGATTAGAAATGATTTCTTGCATTTTCTTTACAGAGTACGATCCAATCGAAATATTGAAGAAAAACTGCGTAATTTTTGCTCGTAATTCGTTAATAATTTTTTTTCTTACTATGTGACGCTCGTGTATTTTAATGTATTTTTCTATAACATATTTGTAGCCAATTTGTAAAAAATGTTGGGGTTTATGAAAAATTACTACTTCTAGAGACCACACACTATCGGACCGGACTTTTGAAATAACCGTTGTTTGGTCGCAAGTTCGATAATTTGAAGGTTTGTCACCCAATAAAATCTGTAGGGGCAGACGATCGACGGTCTTGTTGGGCCATGCATCAGTTTATAAATGTCTGGATTACTGGGTTATCTAGATAATCTGTCGGCAATTCGTAAGTTCGGTAATGTGTAGACTTGTCGCCTGACCAAATTCAGCGGCACAAACCGTCCGGTGCGGCGGTTATGTGAGGAGACAAGAGGACTGTCGAACTCCGAGAAAAAACATACAGGGTGTCCCGGAAATGGTGGGCAATCTCTCGGATATGGATAGATAATGAGAAAATAATGTCAATGTAAAGTTCATATAAAATTTTTTCCTCTGGGCTCACCCTGTAGAGTTATTAGCTCTTGAAGTTGAGAATTAAAAATGGTTTTTTTGCTGTAACTTTTATATTTTTCAATAAATTTTGAAAATTTTTTGGCTGGATCTATAATTTTTTAAGTTGCTTTGGATGATAATATGAAATCCTCGATAATAATTATGGGGGCCCGGGGGCAAAGCAAGAATTTTTTGTTCCACTATACCCCAAATTTTCCATAATTTTATAAAAATTTATGGTATTATACTTAAAAAAGGTATACTTGTTGAATATCTATAAAGTAGATAAACCCGTTTAAAGAGGAAGGTACCTACCATTTAATTTGAGACATTTTATTTAATAGAAACACAGGTTTAATCGTAGTTGGCTTTTACATATCAGAATAAAGGACAAATAATTTGCAATAGCAGTGTTCCAAATTATGAGAATTTGGACTTAACTAAACTAACTAAACGAAAAGTGCACGACAATCAAAATTTTGTAACTAATATAATTCATAATAAATTCTCAATATTAGTTCCACCATCTCTTATACAAATACGAGCTCGTTTAACAGAAGACTGTTGCACTCTCCATAACATTTCAGGATTTTGTCGTATTTCATTTGCACAATAAAAAATCCTTTCTTCTAATTCTTCTCTAGTGGTTACAGGTGTGGAATAAACAAGATTTTTCAAGTGTCCCCAAAAGAAAAAGTCAAGTGGGTTCATATCTGGAGTTCGGGCAGGCCAATGAATAGGTCCACCGCGACCTATCCAGCGATTAGGATATACCTCGTTTAAATGGTCCCTTACTGCAGCTCTAAAGTGAGGCGGCGCCCCATCGTGCATGAATATCAGTGCATTTCTGGTTTCAAGATCAACATCTTCTAACAGTTGTGGTAATTGATGCACAAGGAAATCTAGGTAACGTTGACCATTCAGTCTAGGGGGTAACACAAATGGACCCAATAAGTAAGGACCAATAATTCCACTCCAAACATTAACATAAAATTGTCTTTGGTGCCTAGTTTCAATAATAGCGTGTGGGTTCTCATCAGACCAATAATGTAAATTATGGGAGTTAATAACTCCATTCCTCCCAAAACTTGCTTCGTCAGTATACAGAATTAATCTCGTAAACATAGGATTTTGCTCATGTCTCTGAAGAAATCATTGAGAAAACTGTACTCTTGCACGAAAATCATCAGGATTAAGAGCATGCACTTTTTGGATATGGTAAGGGTGAAGAAGCTGTTCTCTAAGGATTCTTGCAACAGTGGTCTTTGGAACATTGGTAAAATAAGATAATGACCTAATGCTAACTGTTGGATGAGCAGCAACTTCGTCCAGTATATTTTCCTCTACTTCAATTGTACGTGCTGTTCGCAGGGCACCCCTATTTGCAGTAACAGGAGCAAACTGACCTAAAGACATTAAAATTTATTTAATATCCATTTTGTTTAATAATAGTAATCGCATTTTACCAGTTTCTCTTAATCTTTGATCAATACGTTCGAAAGTTTTGCGATCCGGAATCCTTCTATTAGGATAAGAATGCTGATAAAATCTTCTTGCTGCCGAAGCATTACAAAGAGCCCGCCCGTACATTAAATGCATATCAGCATATTCTTCATTGGAATACTCCATATTTTATAACAAATTAAGAGTTATGAGATGAGTCTTAGATTTAAAACTACGTATTTGACAAGTTTGACAATTTAATTGCCTTTGGCATACTCTGACATGTCAAAGCCAACCACGATTAAATCTGTGTTTCAATAGGGTATTTTCACTTTTTTTTTTTTACTTGAAAAATAGAAAGTACCTAAGCCATATATAACTAATGAAAACTTTTTTTGTTTAAAAAAAATCGCTATAATAGTTTTAAAACAAATATAAATATAAGTAAAATATTTGGCGCGAAAAATGCCTAATCGAGTACGACTGGTTGCCTAGACTATTGTGACGTAGGAACTCATATCAACAAAGCAGCTAAGTACAAGTACCTGTTGAGGTTATTTTATTTACTCCTGTTTTTATTGAGATTTTGCCAAGTTTATTTACTTTTTTTTAAATAATAATTATATAATACAAAAAGTAAGACATGTACGAATCACAAAATAAGTGGTGTTTTGTGCCCGGATGTAAAAATACTTCAATAAGTGCCCCTAATAAAACATTTATACCGCAGAATTATTCACGCAAAGTCAAATTAAATGGTACCTTCAAACGGGTTTATCTCAAAAAATATCTATTTTATG